AGATCAGAGTGATGTCATGTGACCTCCCAGAATCCTCCTCACCTCTCCGGTCAGGTCTGTGTTTTATGAATAGAGATCAGAGTGATGTCATGTGACCTCCCAGAATCCTCCTCACCTCTCCGGTCAGGTCTGTGTGTTATGAATAGAGATCAGAGTGACGTCATGTGACCTCCCAGAATCCTCCTCACCTCTCCGGTCAGCAGGTAGATGATCTCCAGGGTGAGGTCCAGTATCCTCTCAGTCGTGTGACTTTGGTCTTTGTCCATGCTTCTTGATATGGTCATGTGATCTGTACAGGACGCGCCTCTCTGCATAGAGATAATAAGGTGAGAATGATCTGTGATTAAGAATGTCAGCACAGAGTTCCTCCGACATTCTGACACTTCTTATAATACTCAATAAACCGGTTGGAGAGATTTCCCTTCTGTTCAGATGACCGATCTCAAAGAGAACCCGTATCTTCAGTAAAAAAAATACTCAAAAGTTAATTTTAATGCAAGCAAGCACAATATATATATTACCTAATAGATTGTTAAAATATAAAATGAGGTTCCATCACGTAAACAAATACCAAACATGTCCCAGCTGGATAAATACCTCCCATAATTAGGATCCCATTTGATGTTAGCAAGTAATAAAAAGTTCCAGAGACACCGGGGAGGGGTTACTAGGTGTATATATAATATATAATATTTTGTTACCTCCTCTGCTGCCAGTTCCAGCAATGTCTCCTCTCTACTTCCTCCCAACTCACCCCTCACCCAGAACTTCCTGTTTGTAGGTGACATCACTTCCTTCCTGCCTGTGAGATCTAACAATAGTTGAGATCACCTCCTTGTGGAGAATTGAAAAACTGCAGCCTACTTCTTTTTTTACAGTCCTTATGGAATAAACTAGAGTAATAGTTACTTGTGACTTGCAATGTAACGGAGGTATATACACTAACCAGCAATGTAACGGAGGTATATACACTAACCAGCAATGTAACGGAGGTATATACACTAACCAGCAATGTAACGGAGGTATATACACTAACCAGCAATGTAACGGAGGTATATACACTAACCAGCAATGTAACGGAGGTATATACACTAACCAGCAATGTAACAGAGGTATATACACTGACCTCCAATGTAACGGAGGTATATACACTGACCAGCAATGTAGAGGAGGTATATACACTGACCAGCAATGTAGAGGAGGTATATACACTGACCAGCAATGTAGAGGAGGTATATACACTGACCAGCAATGTAGAGGAGGTATATACACTGACCAGCAATGTAGAGGAGGTATATACACTGACCAGCAATGTAGAGGAGGTATATACACTGAGCAGCAATGTAACGGAGGTATATACACTGAGTAACATGACATAGATACTTATTACAATACTCAGTGGCAATGATGGCTCTGATCACATGTAAGCCACTGATGGGGAGGAGCTCTGTATCAATGAGAAAGATAGTGGCTGTGAAATTATGGAGCCTATCACTGCGACCATGAGGAGGATAGCCAAGGTGGTGGTAATGGGAATATAATACATGGATGGAACTGGACGTTCTGGGCTCTCCATCTCACTAGCACAACACCAATGGAGGACTCTCTATGAACCGAGCTCATTCCCATCACCAATGGAGGACTCTCTATGACCTGAGCTCAATCCCAACACCAATGGAGGACTCTCTATGAACCGAGCTCATTCCCATCACCAATGGATGACTCTCTATGAACTGAGCTCATTCCCATCACCAATGGAGGACTCTCTATGAACCGAGCTCATTCCCATCACCAATGGATGACTCTCTATGAACCGAGCTCATTCACATCACCAATGGAGGGCTCTCTATGAACTGAGCTCATTCCCATCACCAATCATTTACGAATTATAGACATTTATAAGGTGAAGAACTTTTCTTGTTTATTTTAGAAAATCAGGAAAAATAAATGCACACACAATGTGGACTTTTCATTTGAAATCAAATCTTTCATAAACTGAACTTAAAAATACATCAAATGTATTAAAAAAAAATATACATTTTCTGTAGCAAAGGAAAGTCAGTTTTTTTTTTTTTACCACAAATAAAGTAAAGATGATGGAAGTGCCGCCTTCTACAGCAACGTATAAGAAGGTCCATTGATGAAAGAGAAGTTCTGATTGGATGTTCCTGTATTGGTTCCTTGGTGCTCGTGTATGGGTTGGGTTGCCCTTGTATTGCCCTAATGGCCCAATTATTGTCCCGAGTGGGTTTCCTACCTTTGTCCTGCCCACCTGCTGTCACAATGGCCGGTGTGTTGCCCACGTAGCGCCATATTTGTCCAAGGATTACCTACACGTAGCGTGTTATCTGTGAGAGGGAGGGATCAGATTACTATAATGTAACCCCTGCAGGCCCAGAACTATTCAACCTTGGCCTGAAAATGACTTGCGTTTGGGCCGGGCCCCCAAATTCTCTGTGGCACGCTGAACGCAGCACTTGCCTATCCCCACCCCCCGATAACCTGAGGCTCATGGGGCTTCCTAAGGTTCCCTGAAATACTCCTAGGAAAAGCAGCAGGAGAGTCAACTCAGTGGACTCTTACCTGTCACTTTACAGGATGAAACCCTTCAAAACCTCATTTTTTTAATCATGGAGTTCTTCCATTGACTGAACAGCTGCACCCGTCACCATACCTTTGTCCACAATGGTTTTTCTCACAGTCTGGACATGATAATAAAAAAAAAATGCTAGCCTGTATGGATCTTCTGGTGTTTAAGAAGGTTTCCTTTGATATTGAAACATTTTCCGCACTCCGAACATGAATACGGATGCTCGCCTGTGTGAATTCTCTGGTGCATACGAAGCTGTTCTCTTGTTGTGAAACGTTTCCCGCATTCTGAACATAAAAAAGGACGCTCGCCTGTATGAATTCTCTGGTGTCTAAGCAAGTCGTTTTTGGAAGCGAAACATTTGCTGCACTCCGAACATGGATAGGGACGCTCTCCTGTGTGAGTCCTTTGATGTCTAGTAAGCTCTGCTTTCCAAATAAAACTTTTCCCACACTCTATACATGAATGAGGTCGGTCACCTGTGTGAATTCTCTGGTGTCTACGAAGGCTTCCCATGCAAATGAAACATTTCCCGCACTCCGAACATGAATAGGGACGTTCACCCATATGACTTCTCTGGTGAAGAAGAAAATTGTTTTCCTGATTGAAAGATTTCCCGCATTCTGAACATGAAAAAGGAAGCTCACCTGTGTGAACTCTCTGGTGTACTTTAGGAACTCTTTTGTGAGTGGAACATTTCCCACACATTGAGCATAAACAGGGACGCTCACCTGTGTGACATCTCTGGTGTGTAATAAGGTGTCCATGTCGCATGAAACCTTTCCCACACTTTAAACACGAGAAAGGATGCTCAACCGTGTGAATTTTCTGGTGTCTAAGAAGCCCTCTTTTGGCGCTGAAACTTTTTCCACACTCTGAGCATGAATAAGGGTGCTTGCCTGTGTGACTTCCTTGAGGTTTAAGAAGGTCTTTGTTTTCGGGTAAAGATTTTCCATATACTGAACACGACAATGAACTCTCTCCTGTGTGACCTCCTTCAGGTAAAGAGGACTCCTTGGGGTTAGATGGATCTGTTGATCTCTCCGCACTGTTAGGCTTCAGATGGACATCTGGAGTAACAGTCTGTGATTGTTCAGAAGATTCCTCAGGATTAGAGGGAACCATTGATGTCTCTGAATGGGAAGGTCTGTGATGTCTATTATGAGTAATGGGATTCACTGCTGGAGAATGTTGTGTGATGTCATCATAAGCTGGAGATACAAGAAGATGTTCCTCAGAGATGTTCCAGGCACGGCGTCCACCTGTTGGGAGACAATTTTTCCAAAACCATTATAAGTATTCTTCATACGCTGAGGAGTCTTATTTGTTGGCACAGCACTCAACTCTTTACTATTCATTTATATTTTCCTAGAGAAAGGTTAAGGTCTTGGCTGGAGGGCCAAGGTTGTCTGCCCCCGATCTAGCAGGTGGTCACATTGCAAACACAGCACAATGCTCATGAACTCACCAACATGTGGTGGGACCAGTAGTCCACAATGGTGCTGGTGGGCCTTTCCCATCCACAACATGATCTCTCACCTCCCCACTACTGGTTTTCATCCCGGCTCTTCATTTGAGCACCCTGTGAGCTTTATTTAAAGTCACATCACAGGTCCTCTTCATTCTCTGGTGGTGAGTGGATTCCAAATACTGTAAAGAGGACCAAGAGGACCATGTGTTGGTCACATGACATTATAGTGAGGAATGGAGATGGACCTTCATATGGTGTGCAGTATCTCCTCCTCATTTGTTGGTCACATGACGTTATAGTGAGGAATGGAGATGGACCTTCATATGGTGTCCAGTATAAGCTCTGTTTAACTCTTTTGTTAGGCAGTGAGGTGGAGGCATTGTGATTGATGATGCCTCATGAAGACATTTGCTGTGGGTTAATGGTTCACTAGAAGTTTTCTTCACCACTTTATAATCCTGAGATAGATAAAGTAACAATTATCACGACAGACTTCCCAGAATCCTCCTCACCTCTCTGGTCTGGTCTCTGTATTATTACAGACTTAAGTGATGTCATGTGACCTCGCAGAATCCTCCTCACCTCTCCGGTCACCAGGTATATGATCTCCAGGGTGAGCTCTAAAATATTCTCCATCATGTTTCTTTGGTCCAACACATTAAGATGGTCATGTGACCTATACAGGAAGTTTCTCGCTGTAGACCGATAATAAACAGAAGATGAAATGCACTGTACTGGCATGAATAATATCTGCACAAAGTTTTATCTGCCGGTGGCTCTGGATGGACAGTTGGATAAATGGCTCTATATTTAGGATGTATACGGTCTATAAATGGCGGCTCTGGATGGACAGTTGGATAAATGGCTCTATATTTAGGATGTATCCGGTCTATAAATGGCGGCTTTGGATGGACAGTTGGATAAATGGCTCTATATTTAGGATGTATCCGGTCTATAAATGGCGGCTCTGGATGGACAGTTTCTAGGTGTGAATATAAAATAATATCTTATTACCTCCTCTGCTGCCAGTTCCAGCAATGTCTCCTCTCTACTTCCTCCCGACTCACCTTTAACCTAAAACAGCCTATTCCTAAATGACATCACTTCCTGTCACCTGCTTAGGTCACTTCCTTTCTCTGCCTTCCACTGAAAATACAATGTATCAGCTCCATGTGGGGAATATGAAAACTGCAGCCTACGTTGTTGCGGAATACTTTGATTCGATTCTCCAGCTTTGTCGTATTTATTACATCCGAATGAAAACTGAAACAATGAAATATAAAATAAAGTGAACGTGCTTTCGTTTTAAAACCGATAAATACGTAAAAGTAAAGAAAGTTATAAAGTGAAAACATAATGGTGTCCAATGTGTGTTACTATATAATGAGATGCAAAGTCTATGTGGAAGTCACGTTAAAAGGTTCACATAAGTATTTGTCCAATGAGGTCATTTCATGTCTTCCGGATGACAAATTGTATTGGAGAGATCCAAATACTTCTCCGTAACTAACTGAAAACAATAAAAGTTTCCAGTGCCCTTCTAAATGAAGCTAATCTAGTAATAGACCGCATTGTCTATTGTAGACTACATTGGCACTGTGAGATCTTTGTAGTCAGGGATCTGAAAATGACAGAGACACATAATAAGATACTCAGTGATGGATATAATTGGTGTGACAATGACGAGTCTGATCACTTGACTCACATATCACAGTGACCATGAGGAGGATAGCAAAGGTGGCGGTGATGGGAATAATCTATGAGCTCAGTTCCATCAACAATGGATGACTATGATCTGAGCTCATTCCCCTCACCAATGGAGGACTCTCTATGAACCGAGCTCATTCCCATCACCAATGGAGGACTCTCTATGATCTGAGCTCATTCCCATCACCAATGGAGGACTCTCTATGAACCGAGCTCATTCCCATCACCAATGGATGACTCTCTATGAACTGAGCTCATTCCCATCACCAATGGAGGACTCTCTATGAACCGAGCTCATTCCCATCACCAATGGAGGACTCTCTATGACCCGAGCTCATTCCCATCACCAATGGAGGACTCTATGAACTGAGCTCATTCCCATCACCAATGGAGGACTCTCTATGAACTGAGCTCATTCCCATCACCAATGGAGGACTCTCTATGGGGTATTTATTAAGAACGGGAGTCGGACGATAATCTTGCAAGTTGTAGAACTTTCTTGTTTATTTTAGAAAATCAGAGTAACAAATTAAATAAAATTGAATTTTTGATGAAATCAAATCTTGATTTGATGAAGTTAAATATTTACATTTATTGATCAATATTTATTATCTGGACCAATGAAAAGGCAGTTTTTTTTTTCAGTAAATCAAACAAAGAACAATGAAGTGCAGCAGCCAAATATCAACCTCATAAAACAGTCTTTTGATGAAAGAGAAGTCCTCATTGGATTGGATGTTCCTGTGTTTGTCTTCTATTTCCATCACTTCTTGGGTGTTGATTTGGTTCTCCTTCACTTGCCCTGATTGCCCATTTGTTGCCCCATGCATTATCCTGATGGCCCCTTTATTGCCCACGTGTTGTCCCATGTATGGTTACGATTGCCCATGTGTTGTCCCTTTATTTTCCTGATGGCCCCTGTATTGCCCCATGTATGGTTACGATTGCCCATGTGATGTCCCTTTATTGTCCTGATGGCCCCTCAATTGTCCCATGTATTGTTATGACTGCCCATGTTTTCCTGATGGCCCCTTTATTGCCCCATGTATGGTTACGATTGCCCATGTGTTGTCCCTTTATTGTCCTGATGGCCCCTTTATTGCCCCATGTATGGTTACGATTGCCCATGTGTTGTCCCTTTATTGTCCTGATGGCCCCTTTATTGCCCCATGTATGGTTACGATTGCCCATGTGTTGTCCCTTTATTGTCCTGATGGCCCCTCAATTGTCCCATGTATTGTTATGATTGCCCATGTTGTCCTGATGGCCCCTTTGTTGCCCCATGTATTTGTCAGGATTTACAGTGAGTTTTCTACCTTTGCTGCCCACCTGCTGTCACAACTGCCAGTGTGTTGCCCGCGTCTCGCCAAATTTGTCCAGGGATCACAACCGTATAATCCTCAGGTAAACCAAGTTTGCTGCTGAACTCCTCGCTCCTCCTCCTATTTAAGCCACGCCTCTGCACTTCCTGTTTGCCAGATTATTGTGCTCCTGCCATTATCTTGCTTCCTGCTTCCTCCCGTGTGCCGACCTTTGGCTGCCGATTCACCGACTACTCTCATCGTCTTCCGCTTATACCTGATACCATTGGCTCCTGACCTCGGCTTGTTCGCTGACTACGCTTCTGCCCGCTCCCATACTACTACCGTCTGCTTGTGTACCGAACCCGGCCTGTTATACTACGACTCTGCCTGCTGCTTCAGCTACTGGACTCCGAGCCTGATCCCGGATCGTGACAGTGAGGGATCATGGTACTATAATTTAACCCCTGCAGGCCCACTCAGCCATATTTTGCCACAGGTTAATGACGGATGACGACTACCCGTGTTATATTCTGGTCTGTAGGAATGTTTACTTGCTGAATCACTTCCCGCACTCACAACATGAATGAGGATGAGGTTCAGGTTCACCGCTACCATGGAATCGTGTGCGGGTTGGAATGTGAATTGATGTGCAGTTTTGCCCGGAGAATTTGATTAAACACTATAGCCCTGCATGACCTTTGAACTATGACCAGCAGGCTTTGAAGGGTCAATAAAGGGGGTTGTTAATTTAAGCCAGCCCCTTTAATATAAAGGGGGGGGGGGAGAGTTGCACAAAGCAGGCATAGTGTCGTTGTAGTAATTGGAGGCTGCTGTAGTGGAAGCTCACAAACTGCATAGGGAAACATTGAGGTCAGTTAGGAAGCTACTGTAATTCTGATTGTTAGCTCTTGGGGCAATTGAACCTTTGCTGCCTTTTTAATTGTTGGCTATTGACCATCTCACATTATATCATTCCCCCCCTAATACACATAGAAAAACAAATGTTAGGCATACACCAGTTAGGCCCAATATCCTGGATTAGAATTGTCCCTCTGGCATATTTTTCAGTGCTGTATCTTCATTCCTGTAGTAAAGCTCCAGCCTGTGCTGTTTGTCGCCAGTAAATTTGGGCCTAGCCTCGCCTTTAAAACTGGCAAACTGTTGGTCAAATTTACTTGGCTGTGCCATCTGCAGTCTCGTAATTCTGGTAGCAGACAAAGATTCGCCTATTGCTATGAATAGGGATGCTCACTCGTAGAAAATCTCTGGAAACACTTCCCGCACTCTGAACATGAATAAGGATGTTCACCCGTTGTGAAATGCATGTTTCTCAGTGACAGTCTTGGTGTTTAAGGTCTCATTTTGACTAAACTTTTCCCACACTCTTGACATTATTGGGGTCTGTCACCTGTGTGAATTTTTTGATGTCTAACAAGTTGTCCTTTCTCGCTGAAACACTTGCCGCATTCTAAGCATGAAAAGGGACGCTCACCCGTGTGAATTCTCTGGTGATTAAGCAGGGTTCTTTTCTGATTGAAACTTTTACCGCACTCCGAACATGAATAGGGACGCTCACCTGTGTGAATCCTCTGGTGTGTCCGAAGTACTGTTTTCTCAGTGAAAAATTTCCCGCACTCTGAACACGAATAGGGACGCTCGCCCGTGTGACATTTCTGGTGGGTAATTAGGTGTGCTTTTCGAATGAAACATTTCCCACACTCTGTACACGCATAGGGACGTTCACCCGTGTGAATTTTCTGGTGTATATGAAAGTCTCCTTTGCGAAGGAAACATTTCCCACACTCTGAACATGAATATGGACGTTCATCTGTGTAAACTTTAGGGTGACTACGAACATTTCCTTTGTTGCTGAACCATCTAAAATGTGAAAATGAACTCTCTGCTGTGTGAACTCCTTCACGGCCTGAAGATGATTTTTTGGAATTTGATGGACCCGTTGATCCTTCCGCACTGTGAGATTTTAGAATCATAGCTGGAATAACAGTCTGTGATTGATGAGAAGATTCCCCAGGATTAGAAGGATCCATTGATGTCTCTGAATGGGAAGGTCTGCGATGTATATTTTGCCCAACGAGATTCACTCCTGGAGAATATAGTGTGATGCCATTATAAGCTGGAGATAAAAGTAGACGTCCCTCAGAGAGGCTCCAGACATAATGTCCATCTGTTGGGAAAAATATTTTGCATAAAAATTATAAATATTGTTCACACCTCACAATAAAGTCTCACTGTCTGATGTTATGTTCTATGTTTCTAGGTGATGTCTAAGTCTAGCTGCGTGGAGGGACAGGACAACACAAGGGGGTTGGGCCGAAATCAGACACGTTCAAGGGGAGAAGAACCTTTCATATGGTGTCCAGTATCTCCTCCTCATTTGTTGGTCACATGACGTTATATTGAGGAATGGAGATGGACCTTCATATGGTGTACAGTATCTCCTCCTCATTTGTTGGTCACATGACGTTATATTGAGGAATGGAGATGGACCTTCATATGGTGTACAGTATCTCCTCCTCATTTGTTGGTCACATGACGTCATATTGAGGAATGGAGATGGACCTTTTCTGTTTCTGAATTTAATGATTATAACTTACTTGTGTTGATGAGAAGAGAAGATTCCTCCCGTTTAATTTTCATAGTCATCTCACTCTCCTCCGTGGACTGCTGAGCTCCTCCCACCAACGTCTCTTCTTCCTTTTTAATCTCAACTTTGAAGTCTTTTAGTTCTTCACCCTGAACCCCAAAAGATAATAGAACACAATTATAAAAAAGAACAGATTACAGAGAAGAATGTCCTCTCATGGTGTAGAATTATTTGGAGTTCTATGGCTCAGTCACTTGATAATGATGAATATAGTTGTGATCTACCTTTATGGAATACAGAGGACCACCCTCCTCCATAGACTGCTGATCTCCCCTTTCCAATGACTCTTCTTCTTCCACTTTAAACTCAACCTTAATGTCTTCCAGTTCTTCATTCTGAAGCCCAAAGATAATAGAACAAAAGGAAGAATAATATCATCTCAGCTTAAAATATAGTTTAGGTTTACATCCTAAGTCCCACCTACCTGATCATGGTGGGGGATGGTGAGATCTTCCTGGGTGGAATCCCAGGAATACAGAGGACGGGGACATCTCTCTGGTGGGTTCCTCTTACTGGATCCATCTGTAGGAAACACACACACTGACTGAATACATTGTTTCTATGTGTGTATCAGATGATGGGGGATGTAGGCGGAGCCTCCGTACTTACCCGGTGATGTGAGGGGCGGGGCATTCTCCATCACCACGTCCTTGTAGAGATCCCGGTGTCCTTCTAGATACTCCCACTCCTCCATGGAGAGATAGACAGAGACATCCTGACACCTTATAGGAACCTGACACACACAATGATACCGTCACCACCCAGACACACCCCTTGTCTGTTCCTGGACCATGTCCCAGAATTCCCGGCATCGCTCACCTCTCCCGTCAGCAGCTCCATCATCTTCTGGATGACTTCTAGGATCTTCTTGGCACTCTTTACCTCTGTTGTCGGGCAGTGAGGTGGAGGCTCTGCGATGGGTGATGTCCACTGAAGACATCTGTTGGGTGTTAATGGCTCACCAGATATTTTCTTCACTACTTCATAATCCTGAAAGAGAAAAAGTAACAATTATCACTTCCCAGAATCCTCCTCACCTCCCTGCTCAGGTCTGTTGATTAAAGAGATGGTTGTGATATCATGTGACCTCCCGGAATCCTCCTCACCTCTCCAGTCAGCAGGTAGATGATCTCCAGGGTGAGGTCCAATATCTTCTCAGTCATGTGACTTAAACAGCCCTTCTCCATCCTAGGGGGGGGGGTCAATATATATCTAGGAGATTTGCCATGTGCTGGCGTTCCAGTTCCACTCCAACCCTGGGCTTGGCCTGGGGGTGGGATGCTCAGAGTTAGAGACGCTGACTAGGCCTCAAGCCTAGAGGAGGCCACATGTGGACCCTGGAGGGGTCAGGAACTGATTGAAGAAGCTGGATATGCCCGGCACTAATATGGACCCTCAGGAACAAGCCTGGTGTCTCTTTTGTGGAGGATCTCATACCTATCTCTGTTCAGTTGTTGCTTTATTGCCCAGTGTCAGCAAGTTCTCCTTTTGATTCTGCACTGTGGAAGTCTGGTGGGACTGGTGAGTCCCTAGGGATGTCCTCAGCCCCGCACCCTCTCTCCCAGTGATGACGTTCTACAATAAAGCATCTACGAAGGCAGTTAAAGTTGCTGGCACCCAACTTTCCTTATCACACGTCCCTTCAATGGCTAAAGATCTGCCCCTGAGAGTGAAATGTCAGCCCTATAGGGGTCCACCTCAGGCCTCTGGGGGTCGGAGGGGGGGGGCTACATTTTCTTGGAGGAGATATGATAAATCTTCCTCAATGGCAGCAGAGGATCTCGCATGAAAAACATCTCTCCCAGTCAGATTTTTGCAGCAGGCGTATGTTCGTGGTTGCCGCCTTAAGTAAGACTTGAACACTCTGGCAATTTTTTGGGAGAGCATATAAGAGGGTGCAAGGAGAGACAGCCAAGGGAGAGAGGGTGCAAGGAGAGACAGCCAGGAGAGACAGCCAAGGAAGAGAGAGAAGAGGAAGTCAGGAGAGAGCGAGGAGAGACAGCCAAGGGAGAGATATAGTTGAGATAGCCAGGGGAGAGAGAGGAGAGACAGCAAGGGGAGAGAGAGATAGGAGAGATATCCAGGAGAGAGAGAAATAGGAGAGGCAGCCAGGAGAGAGAGATAGGAGAGATAGCCAGGAGAGAGAGATATAGGAGAGATAGCCAGGAGAGAGAGAGATAGGAGAGATAGCCAGGAGAGAGAGAGATAGGAGAGATAGCCAGGAAAGAGAGAGATACGAGAGACAGCCAGGAGAGATATACGAGAGGCAGCCAGGAGAGAGAGAGATAGGAGAGACAGCCAGGAGAGAGAGAGACACGAGAGACAGCAAGGAGAGATATACGAGAGACAGCCAGGAGATATACGAGAGACAGCCAGGAGAGAGAGAGACACGAGAGACAGCCAGGAGAGATATACGAGAGACAGCCAGGAGAGATATACGAGAGACAGCCAAGAGACCAAGAGGAGATAATTATTTAGGAGGCCTTTCACTGGCCGCCAATGTAACGGAGGTATAAACACTGACCACTAAATGAGAACCGTATTTGTGCCGCGCTCTAAATGCAACAGAACCCCGGCAACCAAACAAATCATCAGAATCATTCAGATAACAATATGTGAACTATATAAACATTTCAGTCTGAGGACGAGGTGACAGGGATCGGATCAGGCTGAGGACGAGGTGACCGGGATCGGATCCGTCTGAGGACGATGTGACCGGGATCGGATCCGTCTGAGGACGATGTGACCGGGATCGGATCCGTCTGAGGACGATGTGACCGGGATCGGATCCGTCTGAGGACGATGTGACCGGGATCGGATCCGTCTGAGGACGATGTGACCGGGATCGGATCCGTCTGAGGACGATGTGACCGGGATCGGATCCGTCTGAGGACGATGTGACCGGGATCGGATCCGTCTGAGGACGATGTGACCGGGATCGGATCCGTCTGAGGACGATGTGACCGGGATCGGATCCGTCTGAGGACGATGTGACCGGGATCGGATCCGTCTGAGGACGATGTGACCGGGATCGGATCCGTCTGAGGACGATGTGACCGGGATCGGATCCGTCTGAGGACGATGTGACCGGGATCGGATCCGTCTGAGGACGATGTGACCGGGATCGGATCCGTCTGAGGACGATGTGACCGGGATCGGATCCGTCTGAGGACGATGTGACCGGGATCGGATCCGTCTGAGGACGATGTGACCGGGATCGGATCCGTCTGAGGACGATGTGACCGGGATCGGATCCGTCTGAGGACGATGTGACCGGGATCGGATCCGTCTGAGGACGATGTGACCGGGATCGGATCCGTCTGAGGACGATGTGACCGGGATCGGATCCGTCTGAGGACGATGTGACCGGGATCGGATCCGTCTGAGGACGATGTGACCGGGATCGGATCCGTCTGAGGACGATGTGACCGGGATCGGATCCGTCTGAGGACGATGTGACCGGGATCGGATCCGTCTGAGGACGATGTGACCGGGATCGGATCCGTCTGAGGACGATGTGACCGGGATCGGATCCGTCTGAGGACGATGTGACCGGGATCGGATCCGTCTGAGGACGATGTGACCGGGATCGGATCCGTCTGAGGACGATGTGACCGGGATCGGATCCGTCTGAGGACGATGTGACCGGGATCGGATCCGTCTGAGGACGATGTGACCGGGATCGGATCCGTCTGAGGACGATGTGACCGGGATCGGATCCGTCTGAGGACGATGTGACCGGGATCGGATCCGTCTGAGGACGATGTGACCGGGATCGGATCCGTCTGAGGACGATGTGACCGGGATCGGATCCGTCTGAGGACGATGTGACCGGGATCGGATCCGTCTGAGGACGATGTGACCGGGATCGGATCCGTCTGAGGACGATGTGACCGGGATCGGATCCGTCTGAGGACGATGTGACCGGGATCGGATCCGTCTGAGGACGATGTGACCGGGATCGGATCCGTCTGAGGACGATGTGACCGGGATCGGATCCGTCTGAGGACGATGTGACCGGGATCGGATCCGTCTGAGGACGATGTGACCGGGATCGGATCCGTCTGAGGACGATGTGACCGGGATCGGATCCGTCTGAGGACGATGTGACCGGGATCGGATCCGTCTGAGGACGATGTGACCGGGATCGGATCCGTCTGAGGACGATGTGACCGGGATCGGATCCGTCTGAGGACGATGTGACCGGGATCGGATCCGTCTGAGGACGATGTGACCGGGATCGGATCCGTCTGAGGACGATGTGACCGGGATCGGATCCGTCTGAGGACGATGTGACCGGGATCGGATCCGTCTGAGGACGATGTGACCGGGATCGGATCCGTCTGAGGACGATGTGACCGGGATCGGATCCGTCTGAGGACGATGTGACCGGGATCGGATCCGTCTGAGGACGATGTGACCGGGATCGGATCCGTCTGAGGACGATGTGACCGGGATCGGATCCGTCTGAGGACGATGTGACCGGGATCGGATCCGTCTGAGGACGATGTGACCGGGATCGGATCCGTCTGAGGACGATGTGACCGGGATCGGATCCGTCTGAGGACGATGTGACCGGGATCGGATCCGTCTGAGGACGATGTGACCGGGATCGGATCCGTCTGAGGACGATGTGACCGGGATCGGATCCGTCTGAGGACGATGTGACCGGGATCGGATCCGTCTGAGGACGATGTGACCGGGATCGGATCCGTCTGAGGACGATGTGACCGGGATCGGATCCGTCTGAGGACGATGTGACCGGGATCGGATCCGTCTGAGGACGATGTGACCGGGATCGGATCCGTCTGAGGACGATGTGACCGGGATCGGATCCGTCTGAGGACGATGTGACCGGGATCGGATCCGTCTGAGGACGATGTGACCGGGATCGGATCCGTCTGAGGACGATGTGACCGGGATCGGATCCGTCTGAGGACGATGTGACCGGGATCGGATCCGTCTGAGGACGATGTGACCGGGATCGGATCCGTCTGAGGACGATGTGACCGGGATCGGATCCGTCTGAGGACGATGTGACCGGGATCGGATCCGTCTGAGGACGATGTGACCGGGATCGGATCCGTCTGAGGACGATGTGACCGGGATCGGATCCGTCTGAGGACGATGTGACCGGGATCGGATCCGTCTGAGGACGATGTGACCGGGATCGGATCCGTCTGAGGACGATGTGACCGGGATCGGATCCGTCTGAGGACGATGTGACCGGGATCGGATCCGTCTGAGGACGATGTGACCGGGATCGGATCCGTCTGAGGACGATGTGACCGGGATCGGATCCGTCTGAGGACGATGTGACCGGGATCGGATCCGTCTGAGGACGATGTGACCGGGATCGGATCCGTCTGAGGACGATGTGACCGGGATCGGATCCGTCTGAGGACGATGTGACCGGGATCGGATCCGTCTGAGGACGATGTGACCGGGATCGGATCCGTCTGAGGACGATGTGACCGGGATCGGATCCGTCTGAGGACGATGTGACCGGGATCGGATCCGTCTGAGGACGATGTGACCGGGATCGGATCCGTCTGAGGACGATGTGACCGGGATCGGATCCGTCTGAGGACGATGTGACCGGGATCGGATCCGTCTGAGGACGATGTGACCGGGATCGGATCCGTCTGAGGACGATGTGACCGGGATCGGATCCGTCTGAGGACGATGTGACCGGGATCGGATCCGTCTGAGGACGATGTGACCGGGATCGGATCCGTCTGAGGACGATGTGACCGGGATCGGATCCGTCTGAGGACGATGTGACCGGGATCGGATCCGTCTGAGGACGATGTGACCGGGATCGGATCCGTCTGAGGACGATGTGACCGGGATCGGATCCGTCTGAGGACGATGTGACCGGGATCGGATCCGTCTGAGGACGATGTGACCGGGATCGGATCCGTCTGAGGACGATGTGACCGGGATCGGATCCGTCTGAGGACGATGTGACCGGGATCGGATCCGTCTGAGGACGATGTGACCGGGATCGGATCCGTCTGAGGACGATGTGACCGGGATCGGATCCGTCTGAGGACGATGTGACCGGGATCGGATCCGTCTGAGGACGATGTGACCGGGATCGGATCCGTCTGAGGACGATGTGACCGGGATCGGAT